GTTGTGAGATTCTTGAAAAAAACCCCTCAATTCTGCTTATGAGGAAGAAGTGAGAATAGAAAAAACAAAGGTGGAAAATAAACTGGAGCAAAAATTCATATAATGAGAATGAACCCTCCTCTGTCTCCCTTGGACCACACCAGTGTTGAGCAGCTTGGCTTTTGTTGGGGGGAATAATCAGTTTATTGTTATTATTAACACACAGGGAAATCCTCTATTTGCTAAAGGGAATGTCATTTACTTTCCAAAAATTTTGAAAATCCTGGATTATAATGTACAAAAGAACTGCATGAAATTAAAAGAGCTCCCTGAAGTGCCTGAGGGGGGGTTCAGGGGTTTGCAGGTGGGGAAATGGAAGCACAGGTAGCTCTGGCTTTCCCAGCAGGACACAGGGAGGCTCTTTAGGACTGAGGATGTTCTTTGGAGAGTTGAGATCACTTCTGCCCCAAAATTGAAAAGTTTGGGCAAACCTCAGTGTTCCTGCAGTTACCTCATGGTAATTAACTTTATTTGCTTCTCCCTCCTCCTCCTCACACCCTGGCTGCTCAAAGGTGAGGCAAGGAGAGGTTCTCCTTTTCAGAGAGACCCTGCTTCAGCTTTGGGAGCTAACCAAGGGACTGAAAGCAGGAATTTCACCCCTGATGGAACAGTTTGGCTCCTATTCCTGTTGTGGGTAGCTCCTGTTGGTCTTCCAGCAGTCAGGACTCTGGTTTGGCAGGGCAGCTTAAATTGGATTCAGTTTAAACAATCCTCCTGTTCCACACAGCTTGCAGCTTGGGGCTCTGGCACACAAGTGACCCGGCTGGCCTTGGTTTGGGTCAATTGTTACAATTCCAGCATGGACCAAACCCAGAGGAATTCTGGCTGAGGAACTGGTGATGCTGCATTGGAAGGGGGGACAGCCAGACAGTCGCTGTCTTTTGGAGCAGCATTTGTTCTGACAGCAGTAGGAAACAAAGATCTCTTGTAAATGCTTTTGAAATAATCAAGCTGTGGCATCTCTGTTTAGAACCATGAGGAAAAATAGGAAAAATTACAGAAAGAGATCTGAAACCTGAGGCATAATCATGCTTTAGCACTCGTGAAGGTCAAAGCTGGAAGTGGCAAATGCACACTGAACCAGATCAGTGACTAAACAGATCTGACATGACGGAAAAAGCTCTTTTTGCCCCGAATTAAAATCACATTAAGCAAAATTAAAAGCCTGAGCTGTGTGTCTTAAGCATGAATTTGTTAATAACAAAGATGATATATTGAGATAGCAGGGATCTGCTTAGTATAAGCAGGAGGTACCTTTCTCTGAGCATGTTTAAAGAGAGTACAATGATTTTAAAATATAATGGTAACATAAGGAACTTAATTTACAGTGGCAAAGAGTCCATTTTCCACAAGAATAATAAAATGTGATAAAGCTGAACTTCAAGGTTTGGCAGCTCTGCTCCCCAATGCCTGGAGGAAGGGGGAAGGAAAAATAACCCTACTCAGGAGGCCCTTTTCAACACCACACACAGATTAAACATCTTCATAAAATATTCACAAATACCTATTTAAACAATCAAACAAAAGAGCGTCATTGCTGCTCGAAGGAAATCACAGTGGCTTTCCTCCCTTTGAAGTGTTGTCCTCCCTGTCCAGTTGTCTCCTGGAGATTAAATTTGGAAGGAGAGGATGTTCTAAATTTGTCTGATGGGCTGGCTCACCTCTCCTCCCCCTTGCTCACCTCCGCCCCTGTCCTGCCCCGCTTCCTCCCGGCGCTGTGGGGCTGCCTTAGGGCTGCAGCTTTTGTGTTCTTCAAACCCTGCCCAGCATCAGTGTCTCACTCTAAACTCCATCCAGAGTGTACTGCCTTCACATTTTGGTCAGGCAAAACAATTCTGACTGAGATTGACACTCTACTGCCTCAGGCCCTGAAAAGTATCAATAAAAGTGAATTGGGGGCAGCAAACTTGGGGGAATGTGACTTCACTGCCTGAAGCTGGAATTGGAGGATTAACCCCTGATATGTAAATGGACCAAATTTATAATTGTCTGAAAAACTCATGACCATCGTCCATCCTGGGTGTGTCCTTGGTGGTTTCTGCACTGCCCAAGGTGAACATACTGAAGACCTTTAATAAATTCCCACTTTATTCTCTTAATCCTGTCTAGCCTCTGTTCCAGGCAGCCACTGGAGGCATCAGTGGGATTCCCAGCCAGGGCAAAGCCAGCAGTGCCATCCACAACTGGATCCCAGAGCTTCTCGAGGTGCCACATCCCAGCAGACCCAGCTCCTTTGGGAGCTGTGCCCAACCTCTGCCTCCCTGCCCTGAGCCCCAGCTGCTCAGCCTTGGAGGGGGAAATCTTCTGGGGACAGCTTTTTCTGGGAGACATTTCAGTTGGAGATTTCATTCCAGCAGCCAGGCTGCAGTTTGTGTTTGGAGAAATGACTGGGAATTTAGCTGGGAAGCAGGAAAAACAGGGCTGTCCATCAATAATAAACGTGGAAATGAGAATTCCAAGGCCACCCTGATGCTGCCAGGGTCTGCAGCTCTGCTCCAACCAATAATTTGGTGAAGCAGGCTCAAATCAGAGAGGGATGTTTCATTCTTATAGCCAGAGAGGGAGGTGGTAACACTTATCCAGCCTAAAATGATAACTGGAGAGGAGCCTCTTTCCACACTTTTTAAATCCCTGCTGATGAAATTTAAAATTAGAGATCTCCAAAGCAATAAGGCCCCTGCTGTCCCTCTGCACCTCTACTGGGAACGTGCCATGGGTGATTCCCGTGATTCCATGTGCTGCCTCCCAGGAGAAGGGGACATCTGAGGCATGGAACTGCCATGAGGAGCAGAGATGCTTAGACCCCTCTCTGCCATATCCAGAACAGCCTCATCCCTCACAGTCCCTCCAGAACAGGCTGGAAAAGGGGCACAGGATGAGCTCCTGTTCCCTTCAGGATTTCCTGAGCTGTCAGACTGGCAGGGGAAGGGAAGGGCACAGAATTCCTGACGTATAAAATGCAGGACTGGAGCCAGGAGACCTCTGTCCTGTTCCTCAGTCCATGACAGGCTACTCTGGAGTGCAGTTCTGAAACCCTTTAAATGAGTGACTCTATCGACTGATCAGGGCCCAGACCTTAAATTTCCATTTTTATTATCCCAAACAGCCTTGGTCTGCACAGACTGTGCTGTGACCTTGACATTCAGGTGTAACTGCTGCCAAAGGGATGGATGCTGGAGCCATCTATTCCCAAGGCTGAAACTTGGTTTGAATTGATGAAATGAAGGAAAAATGGGCAATTGTTCTAAGGAGGTTCAAGGTATAAAGAGAGAACCTTTCAGAGAGAGCCAGGTGTTATGCAAAGAATTTTGAAGGAAAATAGTGCTTTGTCATCTACCTCTGCCAATTTATGGAGGAACACCAAGCCACAACATAAAAGAAAATGTGCTCAACTCAGCCTAATCCCCAAAAAATCCTTTTACCCAGTTCAACAGTAACACACTGCAAGAACAGGTTCACGTTTGTGGATTTTCAGGGTCTTTGCTATTATTTATGGAATTTACCCAGCTTTATACCCTTAAATTTTTGGTTTTTCCCACTTTCTTGGTAGCCTAGACACCTTGAACTGAGCTTTTCTGAAGCCCCCTCTTACCTGGACAAGCTTGGGTTTGATGTCTGGGGAGGTGACCCGGCAGGGGATCACCACTGTTTTCTTATCATCTGTGATGTAGATGATGTCAGGGTGTTCTGGGTGCATCTCCACAAATGGATTCCTGTAGTCTGCAGGGAAGAGAACACGGATTGGGAAAACTGCTCAGTCACTGGAAGGGCACAGCAATGAGCACTGAGCTGCCCAGAAAGGCTCCCTTGGGGTCAGGACATGCAGTGACACCCTGCCACTGTCACACAGGGGTTGGAGCCAATGACCATTGCATTTAGCCCCATGTTCATCCAGAAATTGCCCAGAATGGCACATTTCTGTGCAGACACATGAAAACTGTGTGGATTACCAGCTCAGGATACTTCTGGGCTTTGGGAGGCCCCCTGTCCTTCACCTGGGGATAGCAACATGCATTTCTTGACTGATGACAACCTTTGCTTAAGGAATGTCTTGGAAAAGGGTTGTCAGCTGGAATTAACCCTCAGAGAATCAGCTTGGTGCAAAGCTGGAGCTACTTTGCCCCTCAACTCACCCCAGTTTCACTCCCAACCACACCAAGGCAGGGATGGACACAGCAGGGTGGCCATGCTGCCTTTTGTGGGGTTTGGAGGTTCATTTTAGCCCTGAGAACTGGGAGTTTTGTCCTTGGCAGACAAAAGGAACCATGGGCTGCATCAGGAGGAGAGCAAGTGTTGGTTGGAGCTGTGTGTGTGACAGGCCACATTCAGGTGGTGATGGTGTTTTACAAAGGCACTGTGCAAGGACCAGAGGTGTGGGATTTGTGTGAGCACCTGGGACAAGGGGCTGAGGATGAGCACTGGACCCAAGGCAGATAAAGACCCAAAATCTGGCTGATTTCTCTAATTTCTAGTGCTGGTTTTTTTATGCCAGCTTTTCTTCCACGCCACTGGTTTATTCTGGCTGTGCTTTGGCGTAAGGGCATTGCAGGAAACGTTATGTGAGAGAGATTAATTAGAATTAAAACATTAGATCTCTAATCTTCCCACATTTAGGAAGTTTCAGATACACATCTGAACTTTCTGGTCAGGCAGGCCCTGGTTCTAATCAAGCCTTGAGCTGAGAAACCTGATCTTTGAACTATAACTTTGTAGTTTGGTCCAAGCCCCAAAATAAATAGGAAATATTTATACTCATTCCAGTGACTCGTGCACTTTCCCAAAAATGCAAAATTCTCCTGTTGAGTCACATTATGAAAATGTGTTTAGTGTTTATCCCTGCAGCTTAATCCCTCTGCAGTCTTGCTTTCCAGTTGAGCCACACTGGGAGGTATCAAATGTGACAATATTTTTATTCTACTTAAAAGAAGACACTGGATAATTAAAAGGAGATCATTGGGTTATTTGTGATAGGAAAAAGCAGAGAAAGTAGATTTTTGTCTAGTGGCAACAAAGTGCAAAAAGGTGTCAGGGGAAATGCAATCACAATTATTTCTTGTCCTGTGGAGAAAAGGAAGGTCAAGGAATGTGCCACGTCACAGGGGATGGACAAGGGTATACAATGGATGGAAAAGGGTATAGGATAATGATATGGGCCAAGAGGAAAT